AAGAGGTCCAGGAGCAGGGGGCCAGCTGAACCGATCTTGAAAGTGTTCCGGCCAACGAGCCATATGGCATTCCCTATTGTGTATCAGTGTACCTGCGCCGTCTCTGATTGTGTCACTGACACCTGGTTTCCTGGGACCAGTGGTGCGGATCAGCTGGAAGAGATTGCGGTAATTGCCTACTGCCCATGTCTCCTCTATTTCTTGAGCCCTGCTGGTCCACTAGGCTTGTCTGTCAACACGTAGGCTCCGCTTTAGTTCGCGCTTAATAGCCTGTCTAGTCAAGTTGTGTTCAGAGCCAGCCGCGTGAGCAATGCATTTCAGCTAGTGTGTCGCATGAAGGGAGCTTTTTGTTATTTTCCTTTTTGTCTTTTTCAATTGCTAAGCATTAATGATCTAAATCTAAACTAGTATGTACACAGACTTTCCAATGGTTTCGATTGAGCGCCATATCCTGAATTGTTTCCAGCCATTGGTCCTCCTAGTCCTTTAGTTCCTAACCAGGCAGATGTGTGCATCCAACGGCAGCAAGACTTGAAGTCGACGGTTTCATATGCTGTCGTCAAGTGGACGGCTGACCACCGTATGGTCTCTTCCAGCCAAATCCTACACGAGCGAAAAGGGCACAATGGGAGGCCGGCCTGGGAGGACTCACAAATAACAGTGATGTCATTCGCGTACTTCAAGCCCCGAATGCAGTCACCCGGCAGCAGTTCGACGTCGTAAAGCTCAGAGTTCTTCAGGGTAGTCACCAGGATCATGTCGATGGTGAAGTTGAACAAGAAGGGAGAGGTAGGGCAACCCTGTCTAACACCACTAGTGAAACCGTATACTCGCACGCGATCCCAGGTTTGACTGTAAGTGTCACGAGAATGTTGAGGTACATGTCAGGTACTCCCCTCTTCAGTAAACGGTCCCAAACAGCAACTATGTCAAGAGCGAACGCGGCTCGAATGTCCAAGAATACAACTATGGTTAGTCGGCTGAATGTATGGCGATGCGCAAGTATTTGGCGGACCGTAAAGATGTTTTCCATGCAAGTGCGACCACGGCGAAACACAGCTTGCACACACATCAACTAAGAGCGGGACGGTCCGTTGTTTGGTATATGACCAAACCGAAGAAGTATGAACTGAAAAATCAGTCATTGCCCCAATGGAGGCGAATTCCCTAATTTCGCTATGATGCCTTGTGGATAAGCTGTTAAGCCAAGAGTTCAGAGTGGTGTCCGTAAATCACTCTAGGCAACCGAGGGGAGTTATGTCCACTGATAAAACCATGGATTTTATAACTGCAAGTGGGGTGATAATTAGAGTTAGCACTGTCGGTTGGCCAATCTGACGTAGAGCGCGGATGATAAAGGAAACAATGTGAAACAAGGTCTTGGGGCACCAGGTATAAAGTTGGCCGTAATCTGTTGCTCATTTATCGAGAAGGATGAAAGTTGTGGGGAGAAAGGAAGCAAGAAGGGGAATTGGTGATGAGATATTGTGGGAGGAGGATAACCACCGCTGCCATTTCGGGAAGAAAAGCATTTGCTTGGATGCCCGACCTCGGAGTTTTTATTTAACAGCTCAACCTGCAAGTTGGCGGGTTAGATGAAAGATTGCTTAATGGAAACTACACAGAACCTATGATTAGTCTAACCCACAAAGGTGTGTGTAGCAAATCCAGCTTAAGAGTGTGATTGCAGAGTCAAAATGTGATTCATCTGTTACAAGTCATAAGCAGCCTTGGAAGGTTCAGAACGATTTACATAGGTTTTCATCTGTAACAGATCACGTACCTGCAACCGCAGCCAATCACATGTGAGTTTTGTCGGATATACACTAGAATGAACAGGGGACCCCTAACTTTAGGCGAGTAGTGTCCTCATCATCATCATCATTATACACGTCAGATAGAGGTGGGAAAACACCTCCGCTATTGTGCCGCAATACATAAAGGAAGTACATACATACATATATATAATACAATACACAGGAAAAATAGATACAAGAGTTGCATGCCAGCTGAGCTACCAGCAAGGGATAGGCATCGTTCCGGTAAGCTACCAGCCAGCTGCTAAGCAAAAAAAGTTGTTTTACCCTACGAAATGAGGTCGTAAATGGAGGGGGAGGGACAAGGAAACTCACAGCACAAACGCCACTGAGGTCGGCTCCTTGCCATGTCAGCAAGTGTATCCAGCCAAACGTGTTCACCGTCTTTTGGACCCCAACCAGGGAACCGTGACGCTCCAACCGAGGCTAGCTCCGAAGTGAGGGACTTCATTCCCCTGGACCAAGTCATCGCTTGGCCACCTCTCCTCTTCTTCCACCCACATCCCCGGTGAGCAAACAGCGCACGTCGAGGGAGTCGGTGGGCTGGCATGCGTAACACGTGGCCGAGCCATCGGAGCTTGGTGCGGGAAATAACGGTGCTGAGCGGTTCAGATCCTTTTCCTGGGCCGTAAACAATGCGTTGAACACGCTCGTTACTCACGCGGAGTAGTGTCCTCCTACTGTCTAGAACAGTGTGGCAGTTTTCTTTTAAGTCAATCAAGACAAGCTTGTAACCCGTGAGTTGCCACCTTCCACAGTCAAAGTAGGGAGAAAAAAGACCGCCGATCACTCCCCAGCCTCTAAGGAATGGAATGCTGAAACTTTGTTTATCCGGCTCTTAACCACGGGCCTGCCTTTCATGGGTAGTTCTGAAGTCACATGGAACGAGTTAGCCAGCGTAATCCAATGGATCGCTGAGGTACATAAATCACTTCCCATGTTAAGAGCTAAACTGCTCGCGATCCGTAAATTGGCTAACCGGTGAAGTGAAAAGTGATGACGATGACTGAGCACGTGGTCAAACCGGCGCTTACCATCCCCGATGGTAAGGATCTCAGGCTCGGTCGAATCCGTGGTTAGTGACGCAGTCGACGGGGCAAGAGCACTATCGCACTCAGTCATTCACATCGGGCTGGTTATTTCCATTTGACGATTAAAAGCCTTTCCTGACTTTCATAAAGTTTGATTCCCTTGCGTAAACCTTTGAACTTTCACCGCCGATGTTCACTTGGTGGCCGAACCGAAGGAACACCAATGCACAGACGCAAAAGCGCGCTAGTGGATCAACGTAAGTGGGCCACGCGAGCAGATAACTGAATATAGTGCGTTCTGTTAGCAAACCAGAAATCAAGGCTAAGGTAGAGAAGATTAGAGAGTATGGATGTCCATATAGTGTGTCTAAAGTGTGAATGTAACCGCCCCTCAGTGTACGGCGTTGCGTCTTTTAAGTGGGATTAAAGCGCCAAACATAGAGCGCAGAGAAAAGCATAGCAACAATGTCTTTTGCTTGCATAGCGATGCGAGATTAACTAGGTCCAAACTGCACCTAGGTGTTCGAATCACAATTGAATGAAGGCTCATCTAGCTAAATGACGTTCCTGCTATTCCAAACCCACCTTCTACTCAGCTTCCTATCAGTGTTGAACCAGCACTTTCGCTTTTCAATGTGGCATAAAAGGAGTTATGGTAACCAAATCAACTTCGCTCGACCTTAGTGCAAACATGAAGGTCTGTCACTGATTGAAAGCTGTAAGGTGGCACGAGAACAGTACAGTGGTGAGTTTTCCCAGTTCTGTGTGGTTAACAACACAGCTGAGCTTGATCATCCGGGAGGCCACCTCTCAAGTCTCATTGGCAGATATCCCGGGCAAGAACAACAGAGGGACGAGTAGGTGCCCACTTGGTTCATTTCCTTCAAGAGCTCTGTCCCCGAACACCAGTATATGGACCATAAAGAGTACACCAAATCAGCTCCAATCGGAGATGTATCAAAGTGCCACTTTGCTTAATCGGGGTAACCAGAAATTAGGAGACAATTGGAACAGCAAGTAGGAGAATATTTGAGAAAAATGAGAAAATTGTAGGTAGATGGGTTGCAGTAGATTAAAAATAAGAGCGAGTCCTATTTATGCTGCCGACAATTATTGGTAGTTCGACCCTGGGCAACTAGAAAGTTGGTAGTCGCAGAGGGCTACCGACCAAGCGGATGTATGGTCTAATCCAACCAACGAGAATCACACTGTGCCTAATTCTGGATTTGCTCTCCTTCCGCTAGCTGTCTGACAAACAAGCATCCATACAAAACCATGACAACAGCAATGTGCTGGATCATCTAAATTCCCTGTGTTACGGCTGTCAAATAGTGAATGCGAGTGGAATCGCCAAACGATGCATAACATCCTGGTAACGATAACGGCAAAAAAGGGCTGCACTAAATAAATAGCTGTCCCTAAACACTCTTTGTGAACAGAGAAGTGTAGTGTATTGTTAACTTACGGTATGACTCGCAACACAGAGTGAACGAAATTTGGCATCAGACTTGAGTAATGAGAAGTTAGAATCACACTGGATGAAGGGCAGTCGAAGGACACTTAATGAACTCAGATTGCAACGTGAGAGGAAGTAGACGGAAAGGTTAGATAATAGGAAATAAGGGGATGTGAAAACTGACATTTCTTTAAGTTGTGTAACTAGTGACAAAAATGGTAACCGATCAACTATTCGGACCACGAACCAGACGATCCAATTTGGCCCCGGAAAATATGTTTCTGGTCACAAATAAGCTAGCTTATAAGCTTTTCTGGTAATTACCCATACGAAGTTACCACGGTATGAGAAGGTACTATGTGCAGGAAAACGCTCTCATTGGCTAATTCTGACAGAAAAGGCGCAGGTATACGTTGACTCCTGCAGGGTTGGTCTGGGCTTCCGTTGAGACTGACCGCATGGGACCAGGTATGAACCGCTTCCAAGAACCAGATCTCTTAACACAAACAGAGTTGCATGTCAGAGACCGAAGCACAAATGCCCCACCAATGGCAGTGCGGCTAGTTATAAAACTAAAACCTATACTGAATAACTAACAGCGCCAGTAGAATAAAAAGGAAATTCGCAAACAATGTGGCTGGTGTCAGCAGAAATTGAATAAGGAGTAGATGAAATAGCAGTTAGAACAAAACTCACAGATGGTCGGAGTTAATAAGTTTCGACGCAGACTCTGAAAGCATAATCGACGGATCACCAATATTAGGGCAGTCCAACATTCTGGAGACCTCATCCACACACCGGGTTACATTGACCCCAGCTTCGAACATGGAGGTCACCTGTTCACGCAAAAGAACCAAGCATTCCTTCATATAGTTTAAAATGTGAGTGAGAAGCCCGCACTACCTTCAGTCTGTTTCTTGATTCCATGCACATATGCACTTGTGCCAACTGGAGGCGCAGCTTATTGGCCTCGATGTTAGCATTGTAGGCGGCGGTGCGCTGTGATTGAAGTTCGATTTGCAACTCGCCCAACCGTTTGGCCAGTGAGGCATTGTTACTCTTCAATGAAGCCGCAGAGATGATGGAACGATTAACTGAATGAGAAGAGAAAGAGAGAAGTTGCAATTAATAACCTGGACTGACTAGATTTCCGACGACCAGTTCCGGTCGAGACATAAATAGATGCAATGGTTAGTAACTCGAGGTTTAGCATCCTGCTGACCGATTCCAGTGTAGTCATGAGGTGTGTGCTATCGACAAGAAGGTACGCTATCGAGTGAGATCACTGCGTCAAACAGCTCAGGTATGCTTCACTTCAACCAGCAATGAGTCCCAGTGGTCAAGTGCTACCGGGTCATTAAAGCGCAACACACCAAGTCCCATAATTTGCCCTGTTATGGTGACAAAAAAAGATTGGTGGGAACAAATAAGCGTAATAGAAAAATGTCAGTCAGAAGAATGACGGCTTAGAACCTCGGGCAAGAAAGCAAATATATGAGAGCTGCTGGCCTCTAGGTTGAATAACGTGTCATGGGATTTATAGATACTGGTGAGACCTGCCTATGGTGCAATATAATAGGGCGCATGTACAAATGCGGTTAGGCCCTTCCAGTTGTATCGTCAATCGTTCTCGCCTGCCCACCTCCGAATGTGTTCTAGTCAAACATCCTGATAGATGGTTATCATCACCGTCTTAATGGTGATAAGAATAAAAATTCATTATAAACTTTGGCTAGATGCGGAAAATACCTCATCTACTGTGCCGCAATATATAAGAAAAGAAACGATACAACAGGCGCACGCCAGCTGAGCTATCAGTAACGGATGGCCATCGTATCAGAAAGCTACCAGCCGGCTACTATGCAGCAAAAAGGTTTATGCGAAGTTTGTATTATGCTAAGAAATAAGAGGGCGGTTGGAGGGGGAGCCTAAGAGCGATGGGGAGGGACAAAAAATTCACAACACGAACGCCACTGTGGTAGGCTCCTAGCCATGTCAGCAAATGCATCAAGCTAAACGTGTTCATTATCTTTCGGAACCCAAACGCAGAGCCGAGGCTAAAACCGAAGCCCAACAAGTCGACAGGCATAGAGGCTGCTCAATTTCGATCATCGCTGCCTTCGAAGTTTAGTTCATGTCTGGTGGGAGCACCGTGTGAGCAATGCGCGTGTTCGACGTAGTGTATTTGATGCAGGAAGAGCGGTTGAACCGTTCAGCACCATTATTTCACGCACCAGGCTGCGATGGCTAGGCCAAGTGTTGCACATGCTAGAAGACCGACACAAACGAGGTGCATTGCTAGCACGCCCGCGTTCTGGATGGAAGAAATAGAGTGACCAAGCCATGAGTTCGTCAAGAGGAACCCCCCTACAAATTTGGCTTCGGTTGATGTGTCCCGACTGCCTGGTCAGAGTCCGAAGGAAGATGAGCACGGTTGGTTCGATACACAAGTTGACATGGCAAGGAGCCGACCTCAATAGCGTTTGGCTTGTGAGTTTCTGTCCCAGACCATTTCACTTATCCTCCCCTTCCAACCTCGTTATCCCTCTTGACGAACAATATATTACCAAGTAGCCAATTGCGTGTTTTTAGTATTGTTCCTTTTTCCGTTTGTCTTATCTTTAAGTATTGCGGCATAATAGCTGAGGGGTTTCTCACCTTCGGTTATGTGTAGCGATGATGATGGAGATTGATGATGAGGATGAGAATGAGGATGATGATGGTGATGATGATGATGATGATGGTGGTGGTGATGATGATGATGATGATGATGATGATGATGGTGATGATGATGATGATGATGATGATGATGATAGATGATGATGATCCCTCTAAATCAGCGAAGCAGGGAGTTGGGCCTACCAACCACCAGCACTCTTCCTCCGATCAACCAGTGCGCTACTTCAAATCTCCTCCTCCCAGATGAACAAGCAAGACTGTAGCTGATTTCGCAACCGATGCCAGCAATGAGTCTAATTTGTTCCTCGAACCAAGAGGCTCTTTCCAAAATGGTGCCCCGAAATTTGCTGACAGGAACGTTCAACAGATATTGCCAATCGTTACTCTTGATTCTCATGGGAACGGTATGCAATCACCGAAACCTGCGATGAATATTCCACTGCTTTATTGACTATCTATTGAGCACCCGCTTTTCGAAGATATCGCGTCGAATATTCAATGTAGTTAGGGAGTTGATATCCTCCCCATCAAAAATGCTGTAGGTAATCTGCCCACAGATTCTAGTGGACAGTCAGACTCGTGCGACACAACTCCGAATTTCCACAAGAGTCAAGGCTGCCAGCTGAAAACAAAGCGCTTTTTTATCCCTCTCATGTAGTGCCTATCCCATTGCAATCTGAAGGCCAACATAGACGAAAGCTATCGGTGATTTTCGTCAGTCATCACTGTGGCAAATGATGAAGATATCATTGTCGCGACTAGTGGAATGAATACTCAAGTGGGTCGCTTTCATGCTTCTGTATAACGCATGTGCGACGATTCCGTGGTCGATTCTTGGTGGGTAGATAACGGTGATCAGTTTGTTTAAATCTATAATGACCACAACTTTTGTAGTAGCAGCGATGTTTTATATCGCCTCATCCTCATCCGCCGGAGGTAACGATGTACGGCACCAAAAGAAACCGTCTCATCAGAAACTGAAGATCGTGCATGTTAGACTAGGATTGTCAGCAGATCGAGAAGAGAACATTCAGTATCGATTTATTTCATATCGCTCGTCTCAAAACAGACAAATCTTGATTGAAAGCTTCAGTCGTTCGCCAGTAGGTTAGCAGAACTCCAGTTCAAACGGAATCATGACTACCAAATACTGAGGGATAAAGGAAAACATGGTAATGCTGACGCTTTCTTCTCTCTTATCTGCTCGGTGCGCAACTTTCTCGATTTCAGCCGCTGGCTTCTGTGCTGCAATTCCCAGTGTAAAGAGCAATTACAGTAGTCATAAAAGTATTCTTATGTGTGACTACGGCAGTGCAGTGCAAAAGTGTCTATCATCAGAAGCGGGTCGTTCGGCAAACTCAACTCGAACTCCTTAGCTGCGTAAAAGTGCTCAGCACAATACAGATAGCGGAGAATGCGGAAATTGTACGCAAATTGAATAAAATTACAAGGGGACTGCAACGCTAACGCATCACTTTGCAACAGAGTTGTTCTCTCAAAGAGCACCCGCGCTGCGTCTACACCACAGAAAAGGGGAATTTCGGTGTAAGTTTCCGTATAACCAATAGTTATAAATCCGAATGTGTACAACACTACATACTACTGGTTGAGTCATTACAAACGCTCTAGGTAAAGGCCAGCTAATCTGATTGGAAGTGCAGTCGCGAGGTCACCTTGAACGTGTGCGTACGAAACTTAGTCTGTTGAGTGGTGAACTGAATCGCCATCCATTAAGCTGACAGCTTTCGCGAGGTCGTGATCAATCTGAATTCCGCTCAGGCACTCTGCACACGGAAAAGGATAAAGAAGCGGGCGTCAGTTCGTTTCTAAAAGAAAAAACAATAGCTAGTTGAGGGAAGGCACTTCGTCATTGAACTTAGAGCCTACAGTTCTCACTATGTTACCTAGCCGGCCGGTGGCCGAGTGGTCTTCACGTTTGATTTGCAACCATAAGGTCACCGGTTCGAATCCGCGTAGGAGTGGGTGTCCTCGCGGTATACTCAGCCCGCGCGCGGCAGCGAAGCGCCGTTACGGCGTACAGCTGACACATTATTTATTCTTTATTTACATGTTATTTAACCAATTCTGTCTGGCTTAGCACCATGTTATCAAATACAAGCGTCCAGTGATGTAATCCGAATATGCAAGGTTTTTCTCCAAGGTCTGAAGGGAACAATCGCTACATTGACCTTTAACCGAGAAAAACTTGAAGCGATTCGGAATAGATGAGGCCAAAAACCAAACGGCAAACGTTCGAAAAGCGCTTACTAATCTTCGCCACCTACGGCAACGGTGCAATAAGCACGTACCACTGTAGAGTAGAGCATACAACACTGCGATCAGTTCAACACTACGGAGCGATAGTGAAACATGGTCCACTTCAACGGCAGAAGTAAAGAAGCTAATTGGTCTCGACCACTGGTGCTCCCGCAGTTTAGCTCATAGCTGATGGAAACACAACAATGAGTGCGTTCGCTGTCTCATTCATAGAGCAAGTAGAGCTAACGAACTACCCAGCTCCCCACTTCGATGGCTAGGCCATGTGTCACACATACCCGTACACGGACACCCGTGATGTGCGCTGTTTGCACGATCGCGGTCTGCATTAAAATAGAAAGGAGAGACCAATCGACGACTTGACTATAAGGAATGAAGGTTTTCATTCTGAATGCGGCCTTGATTGTTGTATCCAAATTTCCGGTTTGGGTCCAGAAGACGATGAACACGTCTGGTTGAATACACTTGTTGACATATGATACAGTCCATCGTTTTCCAGTTGTCGTAGGACGATAAAACATATAAATGCGCCCAAGGTACCTGAAAGCAACTTTGATAAGTAACAGCTAATGCAAGAGGCACAGTTGAAATGAACGCTGACCATTGTCCATGCATTCGGAATTAAGACTGAACTTACCACTTGGACGAACGTCTGAGCAGACCCGATGACCTACTTGATTTGGTGTACATTCTCTGCCACGGATCCGCCCGCCGATACTGCTCAGACTGGTCCGAGTAAGACACGTCGCAATACTTTCGAAAATTCCATCCCGTCCAATCTGTTCATGCAGCTGTTCACCTTGCTAATCTCAATCGTCTCGGCAGTCTGCCTTTGGGGTGTTGATCGTAACCCCTCCTAACGATCTCGACGTTTTGCAGAGCGATATCATGAGCTTCATCTGACGAGTGAATCGCAAATGTCGAATCCCTTAGTAGAGACCTAGATACAAGATCGTTTCTCAGCGGCCGTGTTGTGGCCTTTTGTATTCCGCTATCCTCGTGCGTAGATCTCTTGCAGTTTGAACGATGTATATGTGTGCCCAGTTTGCAACTAATTTTGTGGACGCAATTAGTTGTTCTGTCTGAGAGAGGTGGGTTCTTCGAGTGTGACAGTGTCGAGCGGAGCATTTGGTTCGTC